GTATATTCCTAGGATTACTTGTGCAATTATTAAATGTAAATGGTAGTTAGAAAAAAATTTAAAAAATACAAAATAAAAGCAAGCCATTGGAGACATATTTTAGACGTTACTGCCAGTTAAAGATAAGTGGCGCAACCATTAAGCTTGTTGGAGGAAAAAGGTTGCCTGGGTGAGGGGATGTTGGAGATCCCTAAAGAGCATACAGGAAAAGGAGTGGAGAGGGCTAAAGAGACAATTCTAGGGAAACACACCTTAAAAAAAAAAAGAACTACAAAGAAGTTTCATGGCTTTTTTTTAATTCTTATAAACGTAACGTGGGTCCATTACAAACAAATGAGAAAATTCAGATAAGAAAAACGAAAATAAAAAATCCTCTTTAATCCTCAACATTCGGGTATGGTCACTGTTAACATTTTGGTATATATCCTTTCAGACTTTTTTTTTCCTATGCAAAAATATGCACCTTTATTTTATAAGCATCATTACGTTCACCCTAGAATGTTATTTTCAATGACTACATTATTGGCTGCTACGGATTCACCAATGTTCAATTGATCATTAAATGTTATTTACTATTGGGCATTTAGGTGGTTTTCATTTTTTTTATTATCAAAAACAGCAGCGCTTCCTAGCTATGTGGTCTTGGGAAGGTTAGTAAACCTCTCTGTGCTCTGGTTCCTCATCTGGGAAATAAAAGTGGTAATAATACCTACCTCATAGGGTTGTTGTGAGTCTCACATGAGATCATGTGTGTAAAGCATTTAACATAGTGCCTGACACAGTAAATGCTAACTTTTATCGTTAGCTATAATAATAATAATAGTTGTTGTTGTTAAGCCATTGGTAATAGAGTGGTTGAGTTTACTGTGACTAAATGTTGTTTAGAGAAGAGGGACGGATGATACTGGAATTTTTCTTTCGGAGTAGTATGCTATAGGGAGCTCTGGAGTCAGCCAGAGCTGTGTGCCTTAGTCCTATCGGTTCATCTCACAGAGACTCAGTTTGCCTAGCTATAAACTGAGCATTCAAAAGCCTTAGCTGAGAGGGGTAGTTGTGAGGCTCAAAGGAGATAATGCTTGTAAAGCCCACAGCAGCACTCTTGGTATATGGGAAGAGTCTGATCAATGTCAGTTGCTATTATGATAATAATTACTACAATGATTCATTCATCAGCAATGGTAATAAGAAAGTTTCCTTGCCTGACGTAGTGGGGTGGTGGGGAAGGGGTGGCAGTGAGTAGGGCACTTGGAGCATTTTTAACCGCATGTCTGATTACAAAGAGAGGAAATGTTAAGAAGCTGGGTTTTGGAACCAGGCGGACCCGGGCTCAAATCTGGGCTTTCCCATTTACTAGCTCCGTGACCTTGGTCGCATAACTTCTCTAAGCCTATTTCCTCATTTGTAAAGTGAGAATGCTGACCGTACCTATCTTACAGGGATTGATGTGAGGTCTGAATGATATAGTGCATATATAGTGCTTAGCCCAAGGGCTCAATTAATGCTAGTTGCTAGTTATGAGTGTGGGAAGGTTTATAATGACCTGAATGTCCCCTTTCCCCCCTGCACCAAAGTCTGAGTCCCCATACCTGGCTACTTAAATTTCACCTGAAGACTTTGCCCTCTTTAGAGTTCAGGGATCAATTCTGCTCCTAGTCTGGGAGTTTAAGGGATACTGATTCAGAAGGTTGGAAGAGTTGGCATCAAGTAAACCTTTCTGCTAGTTCTTGTCTGACCTTGTGCCCCAGTTCTAGAAAGCAGGCTTTAGCCCTGTTTCTTGAGCAAGGCTTCACCTGGTATGCTCAAGACTGGTGTGCTTTTCTTGCCAGCCGTCTGAAATCCCTGGAGTCTTGCTGTTGAATCCTAGCCCCGTGGCAGCAACACTGGTTGCCAGACGTCCTGTAGTGTTTCTGATACTGGGGCAAATTGCCTCTTTTTTTCTAATCATAATTTTTGCAGGGCTCTATGAAGGTGTTTGTCCGAGTACCCACTGCCCATTCCCCCCAAACCCTGGTCTCTCTGCACCTGAACCTCTTTGAACTTTCCTGCCACTACTCCACTGAACTACCACTCCCACATCCCTTAGCTTTAACCCCCTGTGTGCCTGTGCTTCACGTCACACCAGTTGCAGTGCCTAGCTCCCAGGACTCCCGTGCCTGGCCAACTGCGGAGGGTATGTCTCATTTCCTGAGCCAGAACCTGTTAGTCTCATCTAGTTAATTCTGAGACTCTTCTCTTTTCTGTGGGACAGCCAGAGGCTGGCATAGTGGGGTGGGGGCATAGGCAATGGAACTGTTGGGGGTGAGGCGGAAGAGGGGTGGAGTTGCCTAGGCCAAGTGCTCAAGTGGAGCTTCTGGAGGACTGTCAAATGAAAGGCAGCCAGAGGCAAATGTCAGAGCCTATATAGAGGCAGGAATCTGGGACTAGAGAGACAGAGCAAGCACTAGCAAGTTGGGAACAGTGGGGCGGGTGGGCGGGCAGGCTAGCTGGCTGGCGGGCAGGAGGGGGGCGTGGCAGGTGATAGCTAAGGGAGATTGCAGCGAACAGCTGCTGGTTTTGGGTCTTACTTTAATGAACTGGCTGGGCATGGGGCATAAGTAAATTGGCCAGATTCAAAAAGCTAGGGGCTCAAAGAACAGTCCCTCCCTCTTCTCCCTGACTGGCAAGGTAAGATCTTCCCGGGTTTTGCCTGGTGGGAAACTGTGGCATAGTTCAGGAATTTTCTGAAGATGGGAGGTGGACTTCTAGGACTACTCTTTTGACTCATATCTTTGCCATTGCACCAAGCGTTAGAGTAACCAAAGTGTCAGAAGGAGGCCAGCATCTCGGGGTTGTCCAGGCTGGAGATAGAGGCTGGGGTCTTGGTAACGTGACTGAGTTAAGGGGGAGAGGGGGCAGACCAAGTGGATCATTATAGCACAGAGGTGAACAGTAGGAGGCTCTGGAGTGAAACAGACCTGGAAATCGATGTGGATGCTGGTAAATTATTAAGCTCTTCTGGGCCTTAGTTTTCTCATTTGTACAACGAAGAAATAGTACTACTAAAATCTCTTAGTGTCGCTGCAGGGACCAAATGAGATGATGCATAAGAAGTGCTTAGCACAGTTCTTGCCAGTCAGCCCAATCTCAAGAAATGTTAGCTGTTGGTGTTTCTGTTGCTAGTGTTATCATTATTATCATGGAGGCAAAAATGACACGAGATTGATGGCCTTTGTGACATTGTCCCAAAGTAGCAAGGCTTCCATTTTGGCATGGGCAGGCTGCTATGGGATGTGTGCATTGGTTTCCAAGCTGTGTGACAAACAACCCCTTCTGGAGCTGCTTAGGGGAGTGGATCAGAGGGATAAGACTCCAGGATTGCCCACCCCCATGTCGCCAGAGAAATTTGTTTGCTTTATAGACCGGGCTTCAAGTGAACCATGGTCTAGGATGTCAGAGAAATAATTGAAAGCAACCTTAGGGATACCAAAAGTTAGGCAACCCTGCAGAGAGGGTGAGAGTTAGAAGCATACAGTTTGTTACTGTCACAGTGACCCTATTTTAAGCCCTACCCTACTAATCTGAGAAAGCTGATAAATGAGGGTAATAATATTATCTATTATGCAGAGTGTTGTGAGATGCAATGGGATAAAGCTTGTAAAGCCCTACAGTGCCTAGCACATACTAAGTGAGCAATAAATGGTAGTAATAGTGGTTGTTGTTGATAATAATAATATTAAAACAACAATAGGAATTTTGATTCATGGAATGCTGCTCCCAGTTATTGATCAGACAAATACCTTCCTTTTCCTGAGGACATTCAGGACCATCAGAGTAGTAAAATGAGGACTAAACCACTGCCAGGACTCAGTGAGCCCTAGGTATTAATAATTATCCTGGAGCAAAGAGCTTTCCAACCCACGCTGTCAGTACCTAGCTGACTTGAGTGATGTGGTGGGACAGAACATAGCCCAGGAGCCTGCACTTCTTGAAGCTGGCCAGAAGGTGGTGCTGCTGCTTCATTTGAGCCAGGATTGCCCAGACTCAGGGCTGCTGAGGTTGCTGACATTTACAGCATTTATAACTCTTTCATTACCATTGGGTTAAGGTTATACCAGCCACTATTTTACGCCTCTGGACCTCAGGGGTAAGGCATTATTCTAGTTCTAATGCATTTAGGGTCAAGGTGGGTCCCTTTTGAAATGCGTGAAGCTCAGCAGACCGGAGGTGGAGCCTCATTGTTGTGTAGGTTGAGCCTTCCATTAGGTGATGCTTCCTGGATGTGTTAGTTTTGTAAACTTTTGCCTTTTTTTCCTTTATTTCTGAGAGATAAGACTTGCAAGCATAATTATGGCTTTCCTGTGTGATAGTTAGGGAGCCCTGCTGGGTTTGTTTTGGTTTTTCTGTATCACGTTTGGAAAACTAGAGTTTCCCCATGTAACCTAATAGAAAGGCGCCCACAGTAAATTACTTACCTAGCTCTCATTAGTATATTGTCATACCACAGATTGTTGGTGCCACAGAGCCACTCGCCTCCTTGGTGGCTCGTATTACTAGATCATATTTTTCAAAATCCCTATTACCAACCAAAAATTTAACCACACTCAATTAGTAAGCGTGCATTCCAATACTGAGAATGCATGCCTTCAAAAAAAAATAAGGAGAAAAAAATGTAGTAATGGAAGGGCTAAACCAAGAGATTGTGCTATTGTGACTGAGTGAATTGGTTTGAAAAGGATAGAGGAAGAAGGGACATTTGCTCTAGCTTCAAATTAGTTCATTACTGCCCAGATTCTTTAACCTGATAGGCCCATCTCCAATGCCACATAGCTGACAAGACATAAAAACAGGTGTGTACCATGAATCATTTGTCTGTTTCCCAATCTTCTTGATAATGCCTTTTTGACTTCTAAACTTGTTTCCTGTTTACAGATTTCCTTGCTGCTTGAGCTTCAGCAAGACCCCTGATATCATCACTTTAGGGCGCCCCTCCACACTGTCCTTTGGCCATGGCAGATACGTCAATGACCTTACATTCACTGCGATTCAACAATACGCTGAGGGAGGAAAACGCCAACCCCCAAAACAGGGGGACGACCTTCTCGAGACCAGTGACAGAAACCAGAGCAGAGGTCCAAATTCTGCGTTCTCACGTACAGTTGCCTATAGCCTCAACTTCAGCTTCAGACCCTGGAGGCATGTCCACACAGCTAATGACATCCCCAGCCTTTGACACCATGTCTGCACCTCTAATGGGAGCACCAAACTCTGGAGCACTCTCCCCACCACTAATGCCAACCTCAGACTCTGGGACACTGTCCCCTTTACTAATGCCATCCTCAGATTCTGGGACACTGTCCCCATTGTTAATGCCAGCCTCAGATTCTGGAGTGCTCTCCCCATTGCTGTCCACTTCAGACTATGGGTTAATGTCCCCAGGGCTGATGACAATTCCTGACTTTGGAACGATGTCCACAGCACTAATGGCAGCACCAGATTCTGGAGAGATATCACCATTGGCAATGCCAGCTTCATCCTCTGGAGTGATGTCTACACCTATAATGAGCACTGCATCCTCTGAAGCAGTGTCCACACCATTAATGCTAGCCTCAGATCCTGGAGAGATATCCCCACTGCTAATGCCAGATATAAATCCTGGAGAGACGTCTGCACAGCAAATGACAACTCCAGGCTCTGAAGCAATGTCCCCTTTGCAAATTACAGATGAAGACACTGAAGCAATGTCCAAAGTGCTAATGACTGCTCTAGCCTCTGGAGAGATCTCTTCCCTGCTAATGTCAGGCACAGACTCTGAAGCAATATCCTCACTGATAATGTCAGCCCTAGCTCCAGGAGAAATGCCAACCCAGCCAATGAGCACCCAAGACTCTGGGGGAATGCCCACCCCAGTAATGTCAGGCCCAGACTCTGGAGTAATGTCCTCACTGCTAACATCAGCTCCAGGCTCTGGAGCAATGTCCACACCACTACTGTCAGTTCCAGATGCTGGAGAAATGTCCACATTACTAAAGCCAGCCCCAGACTCCGAAGCAGTGTCCCCACTGCTAATGACAGCTGTAGCCTCTGGAGGGATGCCAACTCAGCTAACGCCAGGCCCAGGTTCTGGAGTGACGTCCCCACTATTAACACAAAATCTAGACTCTGAAATCATATCTCCTCCACCAATGAGAACAACAGCCTCCGGAGTGATGTCCACATCGCCAATGAGAGCCTCAGATTCTGGAGCAATGTCCACACCGCTAATGAGAGCCACAGCCTCTGGAAGTATGTCTACATTGCTAAAGACAGTTCCAGTCTCTGGAGCAATGTCCACCCCACCGATGACAGTCACAACCTCTGGAGCAATGTCCACCGAGAAAATGTCAGCCCCAGCCTCTAAAGTGATGTCCACACAGTCAACAATGGCCAAAAATTCTGGAGCAATATCCACAGGGTTTATGAAAGCCACAGCCAGTGGCGCAAAGTCCACACAGCGGACAAGAGCCTCAGTCTCTGGAGTGATGTCCACACCACTAATGACAGCCACAGCCCCTGAAACAATGTCCATGCCGCAATTTACAGCCCCAGCCTCTGGATCGATGTCCACACTGCAAATGAGAACCCCAGACTCTGGAGCAATGTCCATTCCACTAATGTCAGCCAAAGCCTCGGGGTCGATGTCCACACTGTTAACCAGAGACACAGCCTTGGGAATGGTGTCTATGCCACAAATGAGAGCTACAGCCTCTGGAACATCATCCAAGCCACTAATGACATCCAAAGTCTCTGGAGCAATGTTCACACAGCAAATGACAACCACAACTTCTGGAGAGGTATCTGCAACACAAATGAGAGACACAGTTTCTAGAGGGATGTCCACACCACAAATGACAGCCACGGCCTCTGGAGGAATGTCCAGGCCACTAATGAGAGCCCCAGGCTCGGGAGTGATTCCCACCCCACAAATGACAGCCACAGCCTCTGGAGCTATGTCCATGCCACTAATAAGAGCCCCAGCCCCTGGAACAATGCCCATGTCACTAATGAGAGCCACAGCCTCTGGAAAGGTGTCCAATCAGCCAATGAGTGCTCAAGATTCTGGAGGGATGTCCACATCACTCATGAGATCCATGACCTGCGGAGAGATGTCCACACTGCAGCCGAGAGCTCTAGCCTCTGAAGTCATGTCCACACCACTAATGAGAGCCTCAGACTCTGGAGAGGTGTCCAAAGTGCTCATGAGAGGGTCATCATCTACAGAAATGTCCCCACCACAAGTGAGAGCCTCAGCTTCTGTAGAGAAATCTACACCTCTGAAAGCCCCAGCTTATGGAGTGATGTCCACTCCACAAATGACTTCCACAGCCTCTGGAATGATGTCCATGACACAAATGAGAGCTCCAGTCTCTGGAGTGATGTCCACCCAACTAAAGAGATCCACAGCCTCTGGAGATATGTCTATGCCTCAAATGGCATCCATGGCCTCTCGAGGAATGTCCATGCCAGTGGTAAGACCCCCAGGCTCTGGAACAGTGTCCATGCCACAGATGATGCCTACAGCTTCCGGAGGGATGTGCACTGATTTCATGACAGCTCCAGCCTCTGGAAAGATGTGCATGGCACAAACAACAGCCATGGCTTCTGGAGGGATGTCCATGCCACTAATGGGAACCACGGACTCTGGAACAATGCCCATGCCATTGACGTCAGCCATGGCTTCTGGAGAGATGTCTATGCCGCTAATGAGAGCCCCAGCCCCGGGAGCAATGTCCACGCTGCAAACAAGAGCCCCAAGCTTTGGCTCTATGTCGACACCACAAATAACATACACAGCTTCTAGAGGGATGTCCACATTACCAACAAAAGCCTCAGCTTCTGGAGCAATGTCCACGCCAATTACGAGAGCCTCATCTTCTGGAACAATGTCTGTGCCACTACTGAGAGCCACAGTCTCTGGAGAGGTGTCCATGCCACAAATGACAGCCATGGCTTCTGGAGGGCTGTCCAAGCCGCTGATGAGAGCCCCAGCCTTGGAAGCAATGTCCACACCACAAGTGGAAGCCACAGCCTCTAGAGTGATGTCCAATCCAGAAACCAAAACCACAGACTCTGGAAAGACATCCACCTGTCACATCAACACCACAGCCTCTGGATCAAAGTCCACACCACGTGCGACAGCTACAACCCCTGAAATGAGGAACCCACCACCAAAGGAAGTCCCATCCTTTGGAATGTTGACCCCAGCACTCTGTTACCTCTTAGAAGAGCAGGAAGCGGCCCGAGGTTCATGCCCTGTGGAAGAGGAGATGGAGATTGATGAAGAGAAGCAGATGAAGTGTTTTTTGGATGATTCAGAGAAAATGGCTTTTCTGGTGTCTCTTCATTTGGGGGCAGCAGAGCGGTGGTCCATCTTGCAGATGGAGGTAGGAAACCCCCTTTCAGCTGAAAATAAATCTTTCCTGAGCAGATCACAAGGCTTATATGAATCCTTATCTGAGGTAGACATCCTCAGTGCTGTTCTTTGCCATCCCAAGCAAGGCCAGAAGTCAGTCAGGCAGTATGCCACTGACTTCCTACTGCTGGCCAGACATTTGTCTTGGTCTGATGCCATTTTACGGACCAGGTTTCTGGAAGGACTCTCAGAAGCTGTTGCCACCAAAATGGGCCGGATCTTCCTGAAGGTGGCCAGCAGCCTAAAGGAGTTGATAGACAGGTCTCTCTACACTGAGTGCCAGCTGGCTGAAGAGAAGGATTCACCAGGCAACTCAAGCCAGGATTTGCCATCAGCCTGTAAGCGGAATAATGAGGAGGCAATGGAGAATGAACTGAACTCACATCAGCAGACTGAGGAGGTAATGATAAGGGAAAACACTCAAATTTTTGCTTTTTTTTGTTTTTTAGCAGAAAAATGAGTTAGAATAAGGAGCAGGCAATGGGGAGGCATTGAGGTCGCAGACTATAAACCCCACACTGGAGTTTCATCAGTGATCACTGCTACACAGTTATTTGGGGTATATTAACCATTCTGAGGAGCAGTGCCCTGCCCAAGTTACTTAGGGCCTGGAATGGTTAAAGGACTAAATCTGATTATGAGGGAACTGGCTGGACTCAGCCCCAATTCTCCACTTATTCCAAGTCCAATTCTAAGGAAGTGGTCTTCTTTTGGGGGGTGGGGCCCACTTATAGCTGTATATGTTATGGACTCAGATCATTAGAGAATTTGGTTAGCCTAGTCTTTGGTCTCCCTTTGTACAAGTTAAGATAAATTAGCCAAGTTCCTTGATCTGCTAATTGCTAAACTTAATTCAGGCAGAATGCCCCTTGTCATATTAAGTGTGGTTCTTACTGCTGCTGTTTTTTTCTTACTACCAGCACCAGCATGTTCCCAAACGCTGTTACTACCTGAAAGAGCATGGAGACCCCCAAGAAGGTCTTCATGATCACCTTCGACAGAGCACAGGCCATCAGAAGGCCCCCACTGACAAGTAATGCTCAATGGACTCTTCTCCTGTGATATTTGACTCTGCTGCTAACTTGAGGACTGGTTCCTGGACCCATCCCATTCAAATTACATCATAAACCTTGTTGCCTTCTCCCTCCAGCTGCCCCATCCAGGCACATCCCACCGTATCTGCCACTAAGCTGACTTGACCTTATCCTTCACCCTACATGCCTGTGACCTGCCCTGACAATCAGAGATCAGAATATGAGGGTATATGGTATATGAAGTTCTGAACTCCCATCACCATTGAGGCCAGCCCTAGTTTTTGGTCCAGTAGGCAGTCTAGGCAGGAGAAATAATGTCCTACCTCAAAAATACCTGAGTGTCTTGCCATGTGTCATCAGGCAAACTTGAGGAGACCCTGGCCCCACTTAACCTGGCAGGGGAGCCTGTAAGGAGAGTGATACCGATTCCTATACCACCCTTTTAACCCAGTAGACTTGCCCCTATATGCCACAACTCATAACCAAACCAAATGAAACCCATTGCCGTTGAGTCGATTCCAATTCATAGCAAGCCTACAAGACAGAGTAGAACTGCCCTATAGGGTTTCGAAGGCTGTAATTGTTTATGGAAGCAGACTGCCACATCTTTCTCCCACAGAGCAGCTGGGGGGTTTGAAAAGCCAGTCTCTCTGTTAGCAGCCTAGCGCTTTAACCACTGCACCACCAGGGCTCCTTCTACTACTCATAGCACCTAAAAATGGGTTTCCAGGGCCCTTGCCCTGTTTATAGCCTCCATCTTGAACCATTCGTTTTGACCCATAAAGTAACAATACTAGTAATGGCTAACATTTGTTGATTACGTACCATGTGACAGCTACTGGGCTAAACCCTTGACAAGTATCATCTCATTGCATTCTTAAATTAACCCAACTTGTTCTTGTGTTGTCAATTTCTGACCTCTTGATCTGTTTATGGCCCTTGTCTTGTCCCTAAGTGTCCAATCTGTTTTCTGACCTCTGGGTGAATCCCTCAGTTATTACTTTCCCTCACTCCCCTTGGCTATTGTGCTTCATGGCCAACACTCTTGATAGGGGTCTTGGTCTCTAAACAGGCATAGATATTAGAACATAATATGAGCAGTGTTCGCCTTCAGGTGGTAGATTTGTGGATTTTTTTTTCTTTCTACTTTTCTGTACTTTCCAGATTCTCTATAGTAAGCATGTAATACATTTGTAATCATAAAAGTAAATAAAGTTCATTTATGAAAAAAGGAATTAATAGTGGCTAATAGAATTTGTTTTATTGAATCTTTCATTCAATCAATATTTATTATCTAAAATGTGCCAGCCACTCTTTTAGGGACAGGTGAGAATCTCCAGTTGGGGTGGGGGAGACAGACAATAAGCATGGTGAAGGCTACAAAGACAATAAATCAGGAGAATGGGGAATTTGATACCCACAGGACCGATTTATTTATTCAATAATACTTCGTGTAAGTAGGTTACTCAAAGATGTTTTAAAAACAGTAGGAGTGACATGATTAGAAACATACTTTAGGAAGTTAACTTGGCAACAGTTTGGAGGAAGGATGGGAGAAGGAGGTCAGAGGCCAGTTATGAGCCCCTATGACAATAATCCAGGTGACTGGCTAGGGCGGTGGCAGTGGGGATGGAAAGACAGGGACAGATCAAACTTCAAGTCTTCTGGTAGGTAACTCTCTCTGAGGACTCAGATCTGCTGCTCTAATACTCTAAATATTGGGTCTGATCCCAGGAAGAGGAAAATGTTTCTTAGAAAAAACAAAGATTGGCAAACAAATTGGCAGCCCCACTGTAATGTAGATAAGAATCTGGCTCTGCGGGCTGCCTGCAGCTGCATCAGTCACCAGTACTGTTGCCTCAGGAAAAAGAGATTGCAGTAAGTTGGAAAACACAAATTCTAGGTGCCTAGGTAGCAGGCCTCTGGGAACCCAGCTTTCCCCTTCTTCTCTGGCCCTGTTGACTCATACCTGGCCCAGTGCAGTTTGGATTTACATGTTCAGCAGGGTTGTTCTTAGCTTGGGAAAGCACTGCCGAGTTTATTCTCCTGAAAAATATATTGAAGATATAGAATTGATAACCCATGCCTGGAAAATGTATATGGGAAGGAAGATGCCTTAAAAATGAACTGATTTTCTTATGGCCATGATAATGGGGGAACGATAGCAATTTTTCCTTTATTTTTCTCCGCAGTCATTCTTCCATTTTCTTTTACCTCTCCTCTCCTTCAAGCTAATATCACAAGAGATAAATGGAACAAATGAAGCCCACTCATACCCTGCCAGAGCTCAGTCCCTACTCCTCTACCCACCCCACCCACTCTAAAGGTTATATTTAGAAATGTTTCAAGAGCCACTCCGTGTCTACGTAGAGCTTGCTATCATATGCCCAAGAACTTGAGGCAATCCCGTCTGCTGGAAAACGGTGTCAAGTTTCTCCAGCCCATGAGTAAAAACGAGGTCCCGTAACCAGTAAAAACTCAGATATCCCTGACTTCTGTCCCCACCTGTGTGTTACGGGACCTCTTGCCTTTGAAGGTTTCCTTCAGTTACTTCTGGCAGTTTCACGTGCTCTGAGACAGTTCTCTCCTGTTGCTCTTCCATTCCCATCCTGCCTCGTGGAAGTCAGCTGCCGACATTGCCACTTGAGGGCAACCCCTCTGCCTTGCTCCAGCTGCTGCAGGGTGCCTCTGGCTGTGTGAAAGAGGTCGCTGCTTGGGCGGGGCATGGATTCTGAGGCACTCAGGGCTGCAAATCCACGAGGGCCCAAAGTGGTGCTGACTTCTGTTCAGGCAGCTTTGGCTGAAACCACCAACGAGTCCATCCAGAGGGAGGGGAAATGTCACACTTCGTCACCTGGGCACTGAAACAACAGTGCTTCTACCCTGCATTTCAGTGAGGCCCCTGTGAGAAGAGTGGCTTTGGCTTCTGCCTGCAGCAACAACTCCCCCCTCCCCCAGGCTCAGACTTTCAGACTTGGTCCCTGTGCTTGGAGAACAAATGCCATCATGTCCTTTATCCAGACTCACCCTTCAGTCCCCATTTCCTCATTCTTCTTCCTGGTCCCTATACCTGTCCCTCAGGTGCTATAAGCCCACAGACCTGCTCTTCAAAACCACTTTTCTCCGTGTAAACAAATAGATGCCAGGAACCTTCTCCACACACCTAGTCCTTGGGGCCCAGCTGAAGAACAAATATCACCCTGTCCCATTTCTCTACCCTGCTGCTGTCCCCTCACTCCACCACCTGGTCTCTGTCTCTCCCCTCCCTAGGGGCCAATTATATACAAATCCTTCTCTTAAAGACCACTTTGCCCATGCAAGTACATGTTCAAGATGCTGCTGACTAACCAAAGCCTCAGTTTCCAGACACCTTCAAGTATTACTTTGGGCTCAGCCTGGATCCCATGACACCAGAATATATTGTTCAGCTCAAATAAGGTATCCATTCCCTCCATCTCTTCCAGCTGGCCATTGCTTGAGACCTTGAGGCACTCTTAACCTCATTCTCCAACCAGAATATTACAGACAAAATACCTTGCTGTACCTCAAAGTTACAGATTTTTTCCCTCTGGATCATGTGTTTCCTTCCCTGTCACCCAGTCTGAAAGTTCTGTGCTGTTTGGACATTTTGGCAGTGGAGGATGGAGCAGGCTGCTAGATCCCTTGTGGACACAGAGAGGATTTAGGTCACCATGAGTTGGAATCGATGGCAACTAACAACAGATGTCGTGGTAGTAGGTTGAAATGACTACTAGAGGGGGAAACTTGAATTTAAGTACCTCTGTCTTTCTCTTTCTAACTAGATGGGTAATTCTAGATAGCTCACTTTACCTCTTAGGGCCTCAGTTTCCCCATCTCTAATATGGGGATAATCATCATTGCCCTGTTAACTTCACAGCACTGTGGGATAAGGACGTGAAAGTGTTTGGAAAAATCAAATGCAAGACATACACATGTAAAATCTTGTTTTCATCTGTAAAACTTAGCTCAACCCTGAAAGGGATGGGAGATGCATGGGGTGGGGGATGGGCAGGTAGGGCTAGTTGGAACATACTCAGGATCTAGTATGTATCTTTAGGTGCTCTACTTAAAATGTGGGAGCAGACTTAAACCTCTGGCTGAAGACTGACAAAAGCCACAATTTAATATTAGCATCTATTGAGCCCTTACCACGTGCCAAAGCCCTGGACAAATTGCCTTATCTGGATTAACTCATGTAATCTTCAAAACAACCCTGAGAGATGGCTGCTCTGATTAGTCCTATTTTAGAGTTGAAAGATCCAAGACACAGAGGTGTGGAGTAATGGCTCAAGGCCAGAGAGCTAAGAAGCAGCAGAGCTGGGATTTGAACACATGCAGTCTGACCCTAGATCCCAGATAGATGGACACTACATTACATATGGCTTTGGTATTTAAAACCAGATGGCCACGGTGAGGACTTACCCTGTTCCCAAATAAATTTGCCACCAAACAGCAGCCAGTCTTCTAAGCTCGTAAACCGCTGAGGCCTGAGCAAAAATGGGCCTGCTGTACCTCTTCCCCCTTTTAGATCCAGATGTGAATCCTCCGGGCAGTATTTGGAAAAAAGTTTTCAGCATTCAAGGAAAAAAGCCAATAACTGTGGACAGCTACTGAACTCAGAAGATCCTGCCCAGGGTCTAGCTGCAACCCCAGACTGGAGCAGGTGACTGGTATCACCCACCATTCTGAGCTCTGGCCTGAGATGGAAGCTAAGATTCTTCTCTGGACATCTTCCCATTGATAGGAAATATGTCTTGGGCCCATGAATCTGTGGAAGGGTGTGTTGTTGTTGTTGTTAGCTGCCCTCGAGTCTGCCCCTGACTCATGGTGACCCCATGTACAATGGGACGCAACCATTGTGATCCATAAAGTTTTCATTGGCTGATTTTCAGAAGTAGACCACCAGGCAGTCGGTCTCAGTCTGAAAGCTCTGCTGAAACCTATTCTGTGTCACAGCAACATGCAAGCCTCCACTGACAGAT